AGCCCAGGAAAGCGGGTGCCACAGCTAAGCCTGGCCACGAGCATCACTTTGGGTTATGCTGGGAGCAGGGAGTATTTCATCCATTTACATTTTAGCACAACTGTTTGAGGGCAGCGGCCAAGCCATCATCTGAGAAATACTAAAAGCTGACTAATAACAGAGGTGGGGCTCTGAACTCACGGAGAGAGCAGAAAGAAGGCCAGGAGGGAGCCTGGTGCTGGGGCCCCAAGTGCCCTCTCACTGCCTCTTGCCTGGGCTCACGGGTCTCCTGCCCCACCTGGACAGCTTCAGGCCGCACCAGTGGTAACACCAGGAGCATTCTGCCTCTGCATCATCTACATGTCTTTCTTCTGCATGTGATCCATTTGCATTTCACCAGGACCCTGTAAATAGTAGGGTCAGTGCAGACAAATCAGATGCCAGGCAGGGCATTAGGCAGGTCCCCGCGGTCTCAGGTGTGCCCAGCATTAACCCTTCAGCTGCTGGGTCATAGAGAAGTGCCCAGGGTCCCAGGGGAGGCACTCGGGCAGCTGGGCAGCTCTGGACAATGGCTATTTCCTAACCTGTATAGAGGCATCCTGATGTTTTCGCATCTGAAAGTGCATTCCTGCTGAAGCCCAGCCCCGCCTGTGGCCACCTGCCTGTGTAGGAGGCAGGTGCTTGCGTTCTAAAACCACAGGTGAGAACACTCAAGCTCAGAGGGCTCTGGACATTGGCACCAGCCAGTGTTCCCACCAGATCAGGCACTGACTGCATTTGGCATGTCCTTTCCCTTCTGCCAAATTGGCCCACTGCAACCAAGGCTCACTGCCCCAAGGCAGCTCTCACTCATCCTCCAACGTTGGTTAACCTCTGGGCCAGGAGAGGCGCCCCACCCAGATGTCAGCTGTTCCTGCCCGCCTATCCTCACAGGAGGAGCTGCTGTTTCTCTCCCCAGAACAGAGAGTTGCCTGTCTTTGCCCAGGGGCGCCTGGCTGCTGCCTCCCTGAGCACACCTCCCTTCTCCGCCTTCCTGGTCCTCCGGGGAGGGGGGTGGATGTTGTTCTCACTGCACCCGTTCATTCCCCACAGGCAGTCAGTTTCTATGCCAACGTCTGAACTGCCCCCAGAGCGAACCGCAGAGAGCTGACAAACTCCCGGCCGCTCCTGAGCAAGTGCTAAAGTTGTACTTCACAATTGTCCTGTTTTGTTTTGTTTTGGGGGAAGATGTTCAAAAATTTGGGGGGAGTATAGTTGATTTACAAGGTTGTTAGGTGTACAGCAAAGTGAATCAGTTATACATACACATATACCCACTTTTTTAAAAAGGCTCTTTCCCCATATAGGTCATTACAGAGCATTAAGTAGAGTTCCCAGTGCTGTACCGCAGGTTCTTACTAGTTATCTATTTTATACATTGTCGTGTGCACGTCAGTTCCAATCTCTCAATTAATCCCTCCCCCATCCCCTGTAGGATTGTTCTTTATACCCATGTCCTTTACCCTACCCTTTTACGCATGTCCCTCCATTCCTTTTTATGAGACCCTGCTCGTCCATGGCATGAGGTTGGACCACTGAAGCTTTGCTATTTGTATGGGTCAAAAGCAGGTAACTAGCGGCAATTTCCTGTTGCTTCAGGGACTTGGCAATTTAGAGCCACAGATCTCCGACTGCGGTCAGATGGGCTGTAGAGGCGGCCAGGAGGGGGCAGCAGAGAGCTGAGCCGGCACAGCTCCGGCCTACATGCGCGGCTGGGGCTGCTGCACGAAGCCGCCTCCGGCCTCTTCTTGAGCCCTGATCCTGTCCCAAGTGGGGTTTCTGGAGGGGGCAGCCGCCTTCCACATCCATCTCGGCGGTGGCTCCAAGGCTCTGGAAGCAGGGAACCACTGGCTCCGGCAGCCAGCTTTTGGTTTTATTTATTTTCTCTGTTGATTCTCTGTTTTTCATTTCATTGTTTTCCGTTCAAATTTTTATTATTTCTTTACTTGCACTAGTATTAGGCTTAATTTGTTCTTTCTCTAGTTTCCTAAGGTGGAAGCTTAGACTATTCATTTTTTATATTCCTTCCTTTTAATTATCAAGGCTATATATTTCCACCTCGGCACTGCTTTTGCTGCATCCCACAGATTTTTGCCTTGTGTTGTCTCTGAATCGTGTTTGAGTCTTTGTGACTGCGTGAAATGGAACACACCAGGCTTCCCTGTCCTTCACCATGTCCCAGAGCTTGCTCAAACTCATGTGCATTGAGTCGGTGATGCCATCCAACCATCTCATCCTCTGTCGCCCACTTCTACTCCAGCAGTATACGTTTACCTCTAATCTAGGTCCCCTTGAATAACACAACAGTTCAGCCCATCTTCTGGGCACCCACAGAAGCACAAACACCAAGGCCGTGGGATGACTGGAGACAATGCAAATTACAGGGACCCTACTGTGACCATGCAGAATGGGTCACGGCTGGCTCTGCCCTGTTTCACATTCCCAAGGGCAAACAGACCAGTGGACTGGACTCAGGCCATTACTGCAGAACCCACTCTAGACACAGTTCTCCCTCTGTGTGTTCAAGTGTTCTCCTTATCTTGTATTTGTAACTTTAAAAAAGATCTATTTATTTATTTTTATTTGGCTGCACTGAGTCTTAGTTTCACATGAAGGATCTTTAGTTGCTGTATGTGGGAACTTAGTTCCTGACCAGGGATTGAACCCAAAGCCCCTGCATTGGAAGGTAAAGTCTTAGCCACTGGACCGCTGGGGAATTACCCCACTGAAAGTTTCCTTTGACATCTCCAAAATCACTGAATCTTTTCTCCAGTGTCTAGTCTGCCAGTGAGCCAATCAAAGGTATTGTTCATTGCCATTATAGTGCGTTTGATTTGATTTCCTTTTGATTCTTTTTTAGAGTTTTCATCTCTTTGCATGTATTGCCCCTGTATTTTTGCTTGACATCTTTTTTCACATTAGACCCTTTAATGTAAAATTGTAGTTGTTTAAAATTCCTGGTCTGACGATTCCAAAGCCTCTGCTGAATCTGAGTCTAGTTCTGTTGTTTCTTTTGTCTCTTCAGACTGTTTTTCCTTGTCTTTCAGCACTGTGTAATTGTTGAAAGTGAGACATGTTATATTGGATAATGAGAACTGAGGTTCGTATGACTTTAGTTGGAGGCTTTATATTTATTTGGCTAGCAGTTATACTGTGTTTGCTCTTTACTGTGGTTGTAGATGTCTGAGGCTTTACTTTCATCCAGTGTATTTTTTAGTGTATTTTTTTTTTTTTTTGGTCTTTGAGTTCCTTTGAGAGTCCTTAGCATCTGAGCCTTGTGGTCTACCCAGCTGTAGCCCTTCTATTCCACAGGAGCTCTGTTGTGGTGGGTGGGAAGATAAGAGGGCCAGTGGATGTACAGAAGCATTCTGTTACCCTAAGATCAGGCTCAGCCAGAGCCTGTGCCCTGGGCGCCAACCTTCACAAGTGGTTCTCAGCTTTCTTCTCCCACTTACACAAGACAAGAAGACTGGAGGAGGTTAAAATTATAAATTTTATGTTATATATAGTTTAGGGCAGGTGGAGAAGGCAACAATAGAGGATGAGATGGTTGGATGACATCACCAAACTCAATGTACATGAGTCTGAGCAAACTCTGGGAAATAGTGAAGGACAGGGAAGCCTGCCATGCTGCAGTACATGGGATTGCAGAGTCGGCCATGACTTAGCGACTGAACAACAAATAAAAGTGATTTTATGTGTGTTCTTTAGAAACAGCAAAGACATTAATTGGATGCCATTGACTCTGCATTTGGGGACTGGTGTCCTCACTTGGTCTGGGTGTCTTAAGGCACCACAGATCAGGGGGAGAATGGGAAACACCCCAGGCCTCCTGCAGCTCCTCAGAGGGGCAGAGATGGGGACCCAGAGGCAGGTGAGGGTAGCCCCTAGTGGAACAGAGCCAATGGAACCAGGCAGGGGCCTCAGAGGAGCTTTGGCAGCAAGGCTGCCAGGTGTGGATAGAGACCCCCAAGAACACACCCAGAGTAGGGCCTTGGGGAGGGCACTCCAGGAGGGGCTGCAGCAGTGCGGGTGCAGCAGAGAAATAGGAGCCCAGAGCACAACCATGGTGTAGAGCTGGTAGCCCCTGTGAGGGCCCGCAGGGCGTTTAACACACAGGAGAACTTCTATCAGGCCCACAGGGACTCCTGCGCTATGACGATGCCCCAGGCCGGGGGATCATGTCTGGCAGGGAGCACTGGCCTGTGCACAGTCGCTCCCATCCCAGGTGGGATGGAAGGTACTAGGAAGCCAAGAAGGACACAGAGTCCCCAGGCTGGACCACCCAGGAAGGAGTGTGTTCCGCTGGAGAAGTCGGCCCTTTGTGGAGCTCGGGACAGAAATTGGGGCCTGTGCTCCACAAATGTGCTGGATAAAATGTCAAGGGAAAGAACGAGAAGGAGGGAAGGAGGGCGAGCTTTAGAGCCCTGCAGAGAGGGCAGCGTTGCCTGGTCTGATGGGGTGGGAGCAGGACCACACAGGCAGGGTTGCCCAGAATGCTGAGCGTGACAGCTGGCCACGGGACAGTCACCAGACCACCCTCTGCCCCCGACTCTCCAGGTCCTGTCTGGCAGGGGGTTCAGGGGGCAGACCCTGGAGTCTGAGAGGGCAGGGGTCTGCCTCCATTTCCAGCTGGTTTAGCTGGGACACTTTGGTCAGGTACCATTCTTGTCACCCAACTGAAGGTGGGTGACAGTGGGAGTGATTCAGACAGAATCCATACTGGGAGATGATCCTATCTCATCAAAGCCAAGGAGGTTTCTACAGGGATCCTTAGCATCCCATCTCCAGACCTTCAGAGGGACCTGGGAGGGGGGCAGTTTGCCTCAGAACAGTCATCAGCCCCCCAGATGATTAAGCTCCTGGTACCTGGGGAGGGGGCTTACCAAATCCTCCCTTGTGACTTTGGATCTGAGATACACTTGGAGTTACTTCAGAAGAAAAAGGGGGGAAAAGGGCCAACAAGTTTGGAGAACACTGGGTTATGTAAAATTAAAGACGTTTATTAGTTATAGGACTTCTCAGAGCCTTTCCACATCCTAACATGTGAATCTCTAAAAGGAGAATACAGTCTGAAAAATGGTCTCAGTTAGTTCATGTGGGACAATTTTTTGAGGATGTCTAGTCTCAGAGGAGCCCAGTTTAGAAGTTTAGGGAATGTTGTTCCTGGGCAGACTTGATTCTCTAAGGAGCAGTATCACTGAATTAGGAACTCCTCACAGCAGAGATATTCCTCTTCATCTCAGGGGCTTAAAAAAAGTTTAATTGGTACCTTGGGAGGAGGGAACTGGGTGTGATGGGGAGAGAAATCTCAGCTAGCAAAGTTTTCCAGCACTAGGGGAAATTTCGGACTCATTGCTAACAGTCTCATAGCCAGCGTTGTTTGTTGTTTGCTTGCTTTCTGAATCAACTGGGAGAGAAATGGTGACCTGAAAAAAATAGAGAGATTCAGTTCTGAGAAGAAGAAAATCCCGTGATTTTCCCCCCTCCCAACCCCGCCCCTCTGCCCCCAGACTTGGAGGGCATCACCCTAAGTGAAATAATTGAAATAAGTCAGAGAAAGAAAGGCAATGTATGATTTCCTTTATGTGTGGGATTTTTAAATATTAAGCTTTTTTAGGCTCTTAGAGAAAACAAGTGGTGGTTACTACGGGCTGGGTGGTGGCAGGAATGGGGAGAAGCTATTGAAAGGTAGAAAGTTTCAGTTTTAGATGAACACATTTGAGTATCTCATGTACAGAGTGGTGATTAGAGCAATAATACTAAGTCACATGCCTGCAAATTGGGAAGAAAATAGACCTTAAGTGTTCTCACCACAAAAAAATATATATATATATATAAGAAGAGGGTGGAGACGGTAGCTAATACTATTGTGGTAATCATTTTGCAATTTATAAGTGTATCAGATCAACACTTACACCTTAAACTTACACAATGTTGTGTGTTAATTATTTCAATAAATTTGGAAAAAATAAATATAACGTGAGATCTTGGAACAGAGAAAGGAATTAGATAAAAGAACGTAAGTTTAGTTTTTTAAGGAAACTCCGTACTGTTCTCTATAGTGTCTGTATCAATTTACATTCACACCCACAGTGTAGGAGGGTTCCCTTTTCTCCACACCCTTTCCAGCATTCACTGTTTGTAGATTTTTTGATAATGGCCATTCTGACTGGTGTGAGGTGATACCTCATTGTAGTTTTGATTTGCATCTCTCTAACATTAAGTTATATTGAGCATCTTTTCATGTGCCTCTTGGCCATCTGTATGTCTTCTTTAGAGATATGTCTATCTAGGTCTTCTGCCCATTTTTTGATTGGGTTGTTTGGTTCTTCTGCACAGGGAACTCAGCCTGGTACTCTGTGATGACTAGAGGAGTGGGAAGAGGGGGTGGGGTGAGAGGGAGGATCGCTAGGGAGGGGATATAGGTATACATATGGCTGATTCACGCTGTTGTACAGCAGAAACTAACACAATATTGTAAAGAAATTATAGTCCAATAAAAATAAATTAAAATTAAAAAACTAAGGAAATCTGAATAAAGCATAATCTTTAGTTAGTAATAATATGTTGATATTGGCTCATTAACTGTAACAATATACCACAATATGGGGCTTTCCCAGGTGATGCAGTTTTAAAGAATCCACCTGCCAATGCAGGATACACAGCTTTGATCACTGGGTTGGGAAGAACCCCTGGAGAAGGAAATGGCAACCCATTCCAGTACTTTTGCATGGAAAATCTCATGGACAGAGGAATATGGTGGGCTGCAGTCCATGGGATCACAGAGAGTTGGACATAACTCAGTGACTGTTCACACACACATGCACCATAGTATATGTTGTTGTTGTTTAGTCATTAAGTCGTATATATGCTACCAGAATAATGTATTGGAGAAGGAAATGGCAACCCACTCCAGTATGCTTGCCTGGGAAATCTCATGGACAGAGGGGCCTGGCGGGATACAGTCCAAGGGGTCACACAGAGCCAGACAGGACTTAGCAATTAAACAAACAAAAACAACAATAGTGTATACAACATATATACATTTATATTCTAGTATAAATGGACCATAATAATATGTTAATATTAAGAGTATAGGGGAGATGGAAATTATCTATACTGTCTTTTCTCTTTTTATTAAAAAAATTTTTTTTCTCTTCTCTTTTTATTTTTATTTATTTTACGTTTTATTTTCTTAACATCAAAAACATTTTGTATTGGGGCATAGCCAATTAACAATGTTGTGATAGCTTCAAGTGAACCGTGAAGGGATTCAGCTATACATATACATGTATCCATTCTCCCCCAATCCCCCTCCCATCCAGGGTATGCTGCTGCTGCTGCTAAGTCGCTTCAGTTGTGTCCAGGGTATACTGTCTTCTCAATTTTTCTATAAATCTAAAACTGTTTTTAAAATTAAAGTCTACTTAAAATTTTTTTAAAAAGTAAAATGCGAGAATCTTTCTTGCTGTATCTAGAACCGAAACTTACAGACCATAAGCTCTGTGCTCTCACGCTGGCCACCTTCCTCCAGAGCATCCTGCCTGGGCCTGATTTTCAGATACTTTTGGGGGGATTTTCATCAAATGATTAAAAATCAAAGAGTCACTGTTAATGAAAATATGATTCAAGCGACAATGAGTATTTGATTCCCAGAATGTTTTGTTTGAAGCCTTACTGAGATTTACAGGATGTTCCTAAGTTTTTATTTTGGTGCATTTTTTTTTTCTTCATTGATTATTGCAACCAAATTGGGTGAAACCCAAATTTTAGTAGCTGTGAAGCATTGCTCAGAAGAGATGAGGCTGGTAGGAGATAGGCTGAAGAAGACCATTATGAGCACTTCCTTTCCAACAATGTTTGAGGTAGAAACAACTAGGGTGCCAGGTGGCCAGGGGAAGCCCCGTGTGTAGAATGTGTGTGTGTCCAAGGCATCTTTCAGGGCCCAGCAGTGAGAAGGCACAGCTGGCTTCCTAAGGCTGAAGTTCCTCCTTTTATCTCCCAGCAAGTCTGTGCTGTTGCAGTCAGCTGCTATAAACAAAGTCAGACGGAGGCAAAACAACTTCTTGCATGGTTCCTGCCCAAACGTCTCCTCTGAAACACAGACATCTCAAAGGAAGACAAGGTCACATTGACTTCCACATAATTGGACCCACATTTCGGGAGATGTGCCACTGTTCCAGAGTGAAGGTTGAAGAAGCATTAACCACCACTGCTCAGAATTTTTAGGAAGGGCCCTCCTCAGTCCCACCAGAGAGCAGAAGATGACATTGTGGAATTAGATGTGTGGCGATTCCACCACCAAGATGTGGTGGGTCTTCTTACATGTGGTTGATTGGTTTGCAGATTAACTAGCCATCAGGAATTTGATGAGAAGAAAAACCAGCTCAGAAAAATGTTCTCTCCTGGGGACTCCCAGAAGCTCCAGCCACGAGCAGGCCAGCCCCCAGAAACACAAGGCACACCTTCTCCTGTGCCCAGACTGGCTGCCCCAGTTCCTGGATTTATGGACAGTGACTGCAGCCATGAAATTAGAAGGCACTTGCTCCTTGGGAGGAAAGCTATGACAAACCTAGACAGCATATTAAAAAGCAGAGACATCACTGCCAACAAGGGTCCATGTAGTCAAAGCTATGGTTTTTCCAGTAGTCACGTACAGATGTGAGAATTGGTTCATAAAGAAAGCTGAGTGCCAAAGAATTGACGCTTTCGAGAGTGTGCTGGAAAAGGGAACCCTCTTACACTGTTGGTGGGAATGCAAACTAGTACAGTCACAATGGAGAACAGTGTGGAGATTCCTTAAAAAACTGGAAATAGAACTGCTATACGACCCAGCAATCCCACTGCTGGGCATACACACCGAGGAAACCAGAATTGAAAGAGACATGTGTACCCCAATGTTCATCAAAGTGCTGTTTACAATAGCTAGGACATGGAAGCAACCTAGATGTCCATAGACAGACGAATGGATAAGAAAGCTGTGGTACATATACACAATGGAATATTACTCAGCTATTAAAAAGAAGGTATTTGAGTCAGTTCTAATGTTGGATGAAACTGGAGCCTATTATACAGAGTGAAGTAAGTCAGAAAGAAAAACACCAATATAGTATATTAATGCATATTATGGAATTTAGAAAGATGGTGACGATGACCCTATATGCGAGACAGCACAAGAGATACTTGTAAAGAACAGACTTTTGGACTCTGTAGGAGAAGGCAAGGGTGGGATGATTTGAGAGAATAGCATCGAAACATGTATGTTATCATATGTGAAACAGATCGCCAGTCCAGGTTTTATGCATGAGACAGGATGCTCCGGGCCGGTGCACTGGGATGACCCTGAGGGATGGGATGGGGAGGGAGGTGGGAAGGGGGTTCAGGATGGGGAGCACATGTACACCCATGGCTGACTCATGTCAATGTATGACAAAAACCACTACAATATTGTAAAGTAATTAGCCTCCAATTAAAATAAATTTTTAAAAAAAGAATTGATGCTATCAAATTGTGGTGCTGGAGACTCTTGAGGGCCTGTTGAACTGCAAGGATCAAACTAGTCAATCCTAAAGGAAATCAACCCTGAATCTTCATTGGAAGGACTGATGCTGAAGTTGAAGCTCCAATACTTTGGCCACCTGATGCAAAGAGCTGACTCACTGGAAAATACTGAAGGCAAAAGGAGAAGGGGGTGGTTGAGGATGAGATGGATTGATAACATCACCAACTCAATGGACATGAATTTGAGCAAACTCCAGGAGATAGTGAAGGACAGATAAGCCTGGCGTGCTACAGTCCATGGGGTTGAAAAGAGTTGGACAGGACTTAGCAACTGAACAACAACAACAACTGCACCAGTGTGAGGCCCCTACAAAGCTCTGAGGCAGTTAGTCATTTCCACCACAAAATCACCAGCTTTCTTTTTACTGCAGAGATTATTCTGGAAACTAAAATACAGTCAATGTTTGGTTGTTGTTGTTTTTTTTGCCCATGTGCTTGTGATTCCAGGACCTATCATCTGCCAACATTGCAACATAACCCATTGAGAAGCCAAAATAAATAAAGAGAAGAGAAAAAGGAAAAATGAAGAGAAAGCACCCAGGATTAGATAGGAAGCTGCTGTCCATTTGGACTCTATTGGCCTGTGTCCTCCACTGAAGAATGACCAGAGTTCTGTCTTCAACAGTCTAGAGCCATATGGAGAGGAGGAGGGGATGCGAAAAGGCTGCTGCCAATATTCAACTGTTGATCGGAGAAACACCCTTTGAAGAATGACCTATGCATTTTTGTCTGTGTGGCCCCTGAGATTCACCAGAAAGACCCTCTGCTTTTCAGATGGAGAGGGGTGAGCTTCCCAGTCCTGTGTCCCAGATGTTTGAGAATCTTTTTTCCCCAAAGTAGCAAAACCTTCCTTGTTCTTCTGACAGTCGGTGGAGGATTTCCAGAGCCATGGAGTCAGAGTCTATGGTGATCAAAGGTTTTGATGGATCTGTCAGTCTCTGCCTGATCAAGTTTTCCATTTATTTTTATGACTATCCTTGATCTCAGTATCAAAGGCCTTCAAGTCCACTCTGACCTCCCTCATGTGTACAGGTATTGTTTGATGGCATGTGAATTTCTACAAAGTAAATGTATTTGTTTGATAAATCTACCACTTCAGCTTTGTTTCAAAGATTCTGCCAATGGGGTCATAGGTCATAAGTCAACACTACCTGGTTTTAAAATGTATGTAAATAATTCAGAAATATGGAAAGTGGATGCTCACTCCTGCAGCCATTTCCAGGAGCAGTGTACTCTGTTGAGCAGGTACGAGTCAAGCATCAAATAAGACTTTCAGAAGAAGGCCTTTGGGACAGGCCTCTAGGTCAGGATTCACAAATGGCCAGTGCTGGCCCGAGCACTTGACACTCCCCAGGGCTTTCTCATCCCTCCCTGGACACCTGTATTAATAATGAAAGACCTCTAGTCAATAATCTAATCTTCAGCCTTGGAACACTACAAAAAAAAAAAAAAAAAGCAAACTAAACCTGAATCAAGCAGAAGGAAGGAAATAAGACTAGAGTAGAAAGAAATATAATAGAGAATAGGAGAACAACAGAAGAAATCAATGAAACCAAAAGCTGTTTTCTTGGAAAGATAAACACCATTGATAAGTTAGTTAACTAACCAAGAAAAAAAAAAAAGAAGACTCAAGTTAGTAAAATCAAGAGAGAAAGACAGGATACCACAACTGATCTTCTGGAAATAAAAAGGATAATTTTAAGGGAAAACCATAAACAACTACATGCCAACAAATAAAAACCCAGATGTAATGAACAAATTCCTGAAAAGATACAAATTATTGAGATTGCCTCAAGAAGAAACAGAAAAGTCGGAGTAGATTTATGAAAAGCAAAGAGCTTGAACTATTAACTTTAAAACTTCCCACAAAGAAAACCCCAGGCTCAGATGATTTCACTTGTAAATTCCATCAAACTTGTAAAGAAGAATTAATACTAATCTTTCACCAACTCTTACAGAAAATAGAAGGTGAAACATTTCCCAGGTCATTCTGTGAAGCTAGGATTATCCTGATTAAAAAACAAACAAACAAACAATAAAACTGGATAAGAGCATTGCAAGAAATGAAAACTATTCTTATTAAGACACCATTTCTTAGTAAGATGGACAAAAAAATCCAAAAGTTTAATAGCACATTCTATAGACAAAGCTGTGGGGAAACAATTCTCATAAAATACTAGTGGAAATGCAAGATGGTGCAAACTCTATGGTGGAGAAGGCAATGGCAACCCACTCCAGTGTTCTTGCCTGGAGAATCCCAGGGACGGCGGAGCCTGGTGGTCTGCCGTCTGTGGGGTCGCACAGAGTTGGACACGACTGAAGCGACTTAGCAGCAGCAGCAGCAACCTCTATGGAGGGAAACTTTGCAATGTTAGCAAAATTACATGTGCATTTACCCTTAATTCCAATAATCTCACTTCTAGGAAACTAGCCTAGAGATGACTGGCAAAATACAAAAGGACACATGGCAAGGCTTTTTGCTGCTCGGTGATTTGTAAAGACCAAAACTCACCCAAGTGTCCATCTGGTTGAATCAATTTTCATACATTCACTCATGGATTCAGGTTACACAGCTACAAAAAAGAAATGAGACACGGCTAAGTAATGCCTCCCAAAAATGAAGAAGATAAGTACAAAAAGCAAGGTGGGAAAAAGTGTACAAAGTCCCCTATCAGTTCCATGAAAAAAATACATGTGTCTGTATAGACACAGAATTAATATTATATACTAATACTCAAAATGAGAAAGATTAAAACAAAAAATATTTTAAAGTTTACTTTACACTTTAAAGTAAATAAACTTTAGGAAGAAATAGATATAGTAGTCAGACACTTCTGAAAAAACCTTTGCAGTTTTGAGTTTGCAATAATGTAATCATTTTATATAATTATAAAACAAAATTAAATTGAGAAGTCAATGTCTAAAAACCCAGGGGAAAATTCCATAAGTGAATCCAACTATATCATTTTTGCAGAGTAGCCACACAAGGCAGAATCATTTTAGCTGATGTGAAAACCCTGATGGGATATGTGTGTGTGAGTGCTAAGTCCCTTCAGTTGGGTCCAACTGTTTGCGACCCCATGGACTATAGCCGGCCAGGTTCCTCTGTCCATGAGATTCTCTAGGCAAAATACTGGAGTGGGGTACCAGGCCATCCTCCAGCGGATCTTCTTGACCCAGGGATAGATCTGGTGTCTCTTCTGTCTCCCACATTGGCAGGTGAGTTCTTTAGCACTGAGCCACCTGGGAAGTCCTTGATGGGTATACCTCAGACCAAACAGAAAAATAAAACAACATTTTAATCTGCTTTCAGTAATTTATGGGTCACAGTAATACTGTTGCTCTGAAACTTTACCTAAGGTAAAGCAAAAGAGAAACTGTGTCAATGTCCTGAAGATAAGAGAGCATAAAGAAAAAGAGACATAAATATAAAATCAAGGACTTTAAAGAAAATCACTGTTTCTAAACCTGAATGGGAAATTATCAGTATGAACTCATGATGAATTTTCTTTTATGTATATTATATAAATTAATATATGTGATAAAAATCACATATTTTTATTAACATAACCTGTTAGCAAATCATGTTCCTTTCTGGTCCGTTTTTCTCTAAGTATATTTTTATAGCTAGAATCAAACTGTACATAAAATTTACTTATATTTTCCTCCTAGGATTAATCATATTGAAAGTTAAAATATTAAAATAGAATATATTAACATATTAACAATATTTTAAAAATAATGTTTTATTCAACTGCAAACATCCAAAATATCATTTCAACATGCAATCGGTAAAAAATATGATCACCAGTCTTGGCCATTTCATGTGTTTTATGCTAGATTTCATCTCAAATTGAACGGGCCATGTTTCATGTTCTCAGTGAGCAGGCAGATGGGACTGGGGCCATCGTGTTGCACATGGGGGCTGGGCACCGTGTTGCAGTCCCAGGGGGCTGGGCTCAGCATGCCAGCCCCTGGGAGGATGAGCATTGGCTTGCAGAGGTCTGGGGATCCCATTCTCTTCGTCTTATCTGACCCTGAGAAGGGCCTAAATGACCAGTGACAGTCATGTCCACTGACTGGCGAGCCACTTACTGGCTGGCTGGGATGGGGTTGGTCCATGGTTCTGCAGCCATGGTGGGGCTGGCCATAGAGGCAGCCACAGGGAAGGCAGGAGGCCTCCCTGGTTGCTCCAGTCTGATTCCTGATGCCCCAGAAGTGCCCAGCATCCAAAATTCTGCCTCGAGCCACGCAGTCACACCTACAGCCACCTGCAGCCCCCCCTCTGCCCAGAAAGACTCCTGCTAAAAGCTGTGAGCCCATCAGGGGTGTGGTCTACAGGGTATATAACCCTGCTCCCAGGCCAGAGCTGCTTCAGGGCAGGCACTGCCGACTCATTCGAGGCTGTGTGCATGGGCAAAGCTTGGCAGGAGTCACACTTTACCCAACCCCGGCACTCACTCTGCTGGGACAAAGCCATCAACCTTTAGTGGGCAGAGACCCAAGATAAGCTGCTGAAAGCAAAGGATAGACCTCCCCTCCCCAGGCCCCCTGCACAATCCTGAATCCACCTCCAAGCTTCAGAGGCTCCCCAAGCCCCTAGGCAGCCCCCAGGTGTGGTTACGTCCTATGGCCAGGTGTGGTTACGTCCTTCTGCAGCTGGTGGTGGGGGCTGGTCCCAGGCTTGGCCTGTAGTCCTGGAAGCTCTATAGGGGGGACCTGACAGCCTGGGCCAGTTAGGGTCCTGCCCGCCTCTCACTATGTCTGGGCAAACAGCCTCACATAATCCTCAGTCTCCTCATCTATAAAATGTGAACTCCCCTAACACCCCTTGGGTCCAGTCTGCCTGCATCTCTGTTGGCTCCTCTGTGATGACAGAGGGAACCCAGGCCGAGGAGACTTGCAGCCTCCTCTGCTGGGGAGGTGTTCCTTGTGTGGAAGGCCATGGCGGGGAGAATTTCAGGGCTCGGGTTTCTTCTTTCCTCGATTCATGTCCATTGAATCGGTGATGTTATTTAACCATCTCATCCTCTCCCGCCCCCTTCTCCTTTTGCCCTCAATCTTTCCCCACATCAGGGTCTTTTCCAATGAGTCAGTTCTTCCCATCAGGTGGCCAAAATACTGGAGCTTCAGCATCAGTCCTTCCAATGAATATTCAGGGTTGATTTCCTTTAAGACTGACCTGTTTGATCTCCTTGATCATTGGACTAATCATTACAGCAAACCTCAGAAACTCTCATCAGGGTAGTTGTGGGGTGACTGTGGACATAGATCACTCGGGCTGTGGTTGGAGTGGGGACCTGGGGCTCAGGGGCACCAAGACAAGGCTGACAGTCACATGGGACTCACGTCCACCTCGACCTCTGGCCCAGCCTCAGATGATTTCAAAGGATTAGGGTAATTAGGGCACTGCCTTCAAGCCAGGAGCCTGCTGAAAGAGCCAGTTATGTCCAATTGTCTCAATTATGCAAACAGTGCTGACATTTTTAGCTGGGAAGGGCTGCTGGGGGAAGGGTCACTTCAAAGGGAAAGTTCTTGCTCCCCTCCTCCCGCCTCCCCAGACCCCAAGGCTGCTTTCGTGGCATCGACATTGAACAGTCTGGTGGGGTGGGCTGGGCTGTGGCTTCCTTTTTGGGCCTTGAAGCAAGGTCACAAGCCTCATGGGGATCATGAGGGCTCAGTATGGGGGCTCACGTGCTCCTCATGTGGACACCCCCTCTTAAAGGGTGGGCCCTCCTCAGCCAGCCTCCTGCCTGGCCAGAGGAGGAGGCGGAAAGAGGCCAGCTGCACCCTCTTGGCCCTGTGCTGGGGCAGGTAAGCTCAGGCATGGGGAAGTGTTGCAGGTGTAGGACTCAGATTCCTGGGGCCTCCAGCTCCTCTCCTGTGGAGCATGGGTAAACAAGGTCATGTGGGAAGGGCCGGTGAATCCATGTTCCCTGAAGGGACAAGCCTATGGAACCGGCCACCACCAGGCTCCAATGTCTAAATGCAGCTGCTGGGGTTCTGCTGAGAAGCCCCAGCTCCAGGGCTTGGCCTCCTGGCCTTCACTCCTTAGCATCTTACCTTTGTCCCCTGCTTCCTGCAGAATGTGCATCTGTGTGTCTTCCTCTTGGCCGGGATATCCCTGTAAGCCTTTATCAGCTGACATTTTAGCCATTAGTTAAAACCTCGGCAGAAAGATTGATTGGCTGTGAAGGAAGATGGAGATTCCTTCCTACTGCTAGGGGGCAGGAGGTGGGAAATGGGAGCTGGCTTCCAGAAGGCAGTTCACCTGCCAGTGCAGGAGACCCAGGAGATGTGTGTTTGATCCCTGGAGGAAGGCATGACCCCTGAAAGAGGGCATGACAGCCCACTCCAATATTCTTGCCTGGGAAATCCTATAGATAGAGGAGCCTGGCGGGCTACAGTCCATGGAGTCACAAAGGGTTGGACACAACTTAGCACGCACACACGCCCAAGTCCAACAACTGCACAACTAAGGATCTGTCCTAAGGAAATAATCCTGACAGATTAATGTAAATATAAGCCAACATTTATAGAGCGCTATTTACTACAGTAAGACACAGGGGACAATCCAAACGTCGAAATAGAGGACTGGACACATAATCGTGGTCTATCTACAAGGTAAAATGTAGTCTTTTTTTTTTATGTGGACCATTTTAAAGTCTACTTAATTTGTTACAATGCTGCTTCTGTTGTATGTTTTAGGTTTTGGGCCTTGAGCCATCAAGGATTTTAGCTTCCTAACCAGGGATAAAACTCTCCTCTCTAGCCCTGGAAAGTGAAGTCTTAACCACTGGACCACCAGGGAAGTCTTTGTAATGTATTAACCTTTTAAACAACAGAGAAGAGTGAATAATGACAAAGCAGGATAATCATATTTTCCATTACACACGCATGTACACGCTCACACACACACACACACATCTTATCTATTCTTGGAAAAAGCCAAGGAATACATTGAAATGCTAGCCATTATTTTAAATGCAGTTTGTATGTGTGATGTTTATTTATTCCTTTGTAATTTCTTTTTCTTTTACTTTAACAATATTCGATAATGAATACATTTTCATTTTGTTACCAGAAAATTTTTAAAATTTAGCAAATATTAACAAAAATAGTGGGAATGTGGGGAAGATTAAAAATATTCACAGGATTTGTTCTCAGTTGACCAGGGGTAGGAGACAGGAATAAAAGAAGGGAGAGGGGTTGGGAGAAAAAAGACAAGACAGATTTGCTGAGTCTGAGGTAAGTATTTATGGAGGAATTAAGAGGGACGATCAGTCTCTCTGGGAGAGGACCTTAGTAATACAGGTCTGATTTTGGGAAAGGGTTGTCTTTGGGAATGTTTACCAAATTACATTTTGCAAGGTACTGAGCAGCATTTTAAAATATATATATATATATACATATAATTTGATCTGTTTATTTATGGCTGTGATAGCTCTTCATTGCTGTGTGGGCATCACTCTAGTTGGGCTCAGTGGGGGCTCCTCTCTAGTTGTGGTGCTCAGGCTTCTCTTATTGCAGAGCACGGACTCTAGGGCACACAGACTTCAGTAATTGTGGCTCCTGGGCTCTAGAGCACAGGCTTCATTGCTCCACAGCATGTGGGATCTTTCCGGATCGGGGATCGAATCCATGTCTCCTAGGTTGGCAGGAGGATTCTTTACCACTAAACCCCCAGGGAAGCCCCTCAAGCAGCAGTTTTGACTCATGGCATTTGCAGTGATATTTGTCCCATAAAGCGATCATTCCCTGCCGTGTATTTTAGGCCCCAGAAAATGTAACTGGAAATGTCAACCAGTACCGAGGGTATTTGCTGTCATGGTTTATGTTTTATTAGTTATTTTTCAGCAGAAGTCAGGGCTTGTGTTGGGTTTGGCTCCTTCGAAACTTCATTTATTTGCTTTGCAAAGTTGATAATTACAAGGCACAGAAAGATGTGCGGACATTTTAAGTGATTGGTCTCCATTTTGAACTAAGTGAAAACAAAGCAGATTTTCTATTAACTTACAGTTCTCTAGACTTGGAGCACTAGGTATTCTTAGAAAATTCTCTCTTACTTTGTTTGAAAATGTTTTAAAGATGTCCTATAA